ATTGTAGATCTTTTTTTGAAATATCAATAGTAATCGTGACTTGCAGATCTATCCATAAACGGATTTTTAACCATGCTAGTCATATCATTATTTGTTAACAGTGCCTGTAGCCTTTTTAAAAAAAATGCAGTTCATATTAACCATTTTTTCTCTTGAAGAAAGAATCAATTGAGATCTCAGTTTTGGAAAGCATGCAAAAAATATTATGAAACTAAGTTGCTTTTGCTGTTGTTTCTATCTTGCATTGCAATTATACAAATACCTAAATGCTTGATTTATTCCGGTTAATATATTTCTGTATTACTACAAGTGGAACTATTTACATGAACGTGATAATGAATTAAACAAACATCTGGACGAAGATCAAAAGGTGAGGAAACAAGCTTTATCTCTTTGATGCACCTAACATCCTCAGCTGAAATTTAATTACTTTACTTGCAATCAAAGGATATTGATGATAAAGCAAATATGATACATATAGTAAATTACGCTTTTTTTTTAAATCCTTACTGATTGTTCTCTTAAATTTGTAGGATTTATCTGGGAATTATTATAAGACTCCTGAAGTATGCTCCACAAATATGTTTAGCTACAAGCTGTGAGTGCTAACAGTATTACCATTCCTCCTGTCATAACTATGCTTCTCATAGCCTATAGAACAAATTTTTCTGGGTTCTTTAAACTCTTCTGGTTCCAATGATGATGATGAAGCAATAGTTAATAAGTTAAATAAATTTGATTATCTTACTGGACTGAGAAAGTAGAGTTTGGTATAAACAGAGATTTGTTCTGGTAAATATTTAAAGAACATATTTTTATAAAAATTTTTTTATCAAAATCGGATGTTACCTCAATTATAATAACCCAGTGTCCTGTCACAAGACACCAACAATGATTTAAGCAAGCTTGATTTGGGGTTTTGGGCAGTGTGTATAATATCAAAATTATGGACTTTGATTGGACGGAAAGGGAAGGAGAAGCTAAATATGAAAGTCTGAACCCCTGGCATTTAGATGCTGGCTGGCACGAACTCGTCAAAAAGGAACATGATAAACATTTGATTGATAATATTTATCACAATAATCACAATATAATGGATGACCAACCCTTAGAAAAGTGACGGTGCCTCTCTGAGTGGATACAATAGATATGATAATAATTAATATTAGTTTTAAACGTCTATATTTGTTAATATTATTGATATTATACTTTAAATAAAAAAAATTATTGTAATTTTTTTTTTAAAGGAAAGACAAAATTAAAACATCTATATGCATAAAATTATGGGTGCAAATCATGTGATAAATAGATATAGTGTACTTTACCTGAATCTAAGAAACCAACAATATCTAATTTACAAAGCTGATCCCATATTTTTTTTATCTTTTGAGAACATGTCCTCCATTACTTTAAGCATTTATAAACTTCCGTCAGCTGGGTGTCCCCCCATCACGAATCTCCTTAGTTTACTAACAACAGATTTCTCAATGCTTTAGCAATTCTATTTTAACATTTATGTCATTTATTCTGTTTTTTTTTTTTTGATATTTGATAAAAGATGGTTTGAATATGAACTTGTGGTTGTAACCACCAATTTTCAAAAAAGGCAGTTATACAAGTTTTAAAGGTGGTATTGCCGTAATTCCTTACTTTTAATACAATACTCCATGGTTAACTATGGTCTCTTTCCATAAACTCGTAATTTAAACGCGGAATTTCTGAGTTCTTCCTCCTTTTGTATATAATATAGACATTTTGAACTTCATTTCCATCAATCTCAACAATTTCAATTCTAAAATTTCTTTCAGCCTTTGATATGACCGTCTCGTTGAACGTTTTCTGTATATTAGTAATTTGCAAAATTATTCCAAGGCACAATGTCTTACATCTTCTACTCTGATATCATACGTTGTTTGTATAGCCTATCTGGTGCCTGATTATTATATCCTTCAAACGAGTGTCTATGTCAGCTTTCCCATCCCAGGATATTACAACGCTAAAAAACCAAAATGGTAAATCCAGCCAATAAACCACCAAACGAATCAATAACTCGACCTCACAACCAATTGGCATATTGAGAACAAAAAGAGTGAACCTGACAAGGTATTTTTTTTTTGATTTGTACATATGCTTGATCGAGGCTATTATTATTATTTGTTCAAGATCCATTTTCGATTCAATGAATCTTCTCATGTTCTATTTGGTTATTAGTTGAAATCGTCATTCATTTTTTAGGGAACCAAGGTAAAATAAATAACAAGAATAGAAATTTTTTTCTTAATATGTATGTATGTGTACACGTAATTATATTATAACAACTATATATAGTTTTCGATATTAAAGGAGTAATATTAATATATATTGGTCATACCCCTTAATAATTATATCATAAAATCATATAAAAATTTTTGATTTATATAAATAAATGATACGATTTCCTTTTTTCTACTTTTCTCCCTAAAAAAGAATCATATTACTTACCAATCTTTTGATACTTACTTCCCTTGAATTCCCTTGATTTTTCTTTCTCTTAACTTTTATTTTTTATCCATTTAATGATAAACTAATTTAATGAAATAATAATTATTATAATTTAATTAATTAATTTAATCTCGCACCATATTTATTACAATCACATTATAATGTCTACTAAATTTTCCAGAAAAAATTCACTAATTTACTTACCTGGAGGTGAAATATTTCGTCGTGTGTCAAATAGTATTCGTGGGGCTGGAGTTATTGATGCTGTAGCTCAAGCTGCTTTTAATGAAAAAAAATGGGTCTGGGTTGAGGATAAGAATGATGGTTATGTTGCTGGTTATATTACAAAAGAAATAGGGAATCAAGTGGAAGTCCATTTTAATGACTATTCGGTATAATCAAAGTTTGGATTGATTTATTGGTTGATTGTTGCTATTTATTATTTATTAATTTTTATCAATTAACCAAATTTAGTCCCGCATTGTTGACGTGGACGAAACCGAAAAAATGAATCCACCTAAATTTGACAAAGTTGAAGATATGGCTGATCTAACTTATCTAAATGAAGCATCTATTATACATAATCTACGACAAAGATATTTTTCAGATTATTTTTATGTACGCAGGCCATTCTTATTTATTACTTATATATATAAATATATACATACATACATATATATAGACGACTGTGTTGATTTATTCATTATTTATTTTATCATTTATGTACTATTATCTTGATCATAGACATATTCGGGGCTCTTTTTGGTTGCAGTGAATCCTTATCATGATTTCCCAATATATACAGATGAAATCATACAATCTTATAAAGGTAAACGTAGACATGAAATGCCACCTCATATATACGCTATAGCCGATTCTGCTTATCACAATATGCTACAAGAGCGTGAAAATCAATCAATTCTAATAACGTAATGATACTTGTCATATTTCAACTAAATCAGTTTATTGATTGAATTTCTATTAATTAATTAATCGATTCATTTAATCCATGATTTTATTTAGCGGAGAATCTGGTGCAGGAAAAACTGTAAACACAAAAAAAGTTATTCAATATATAGCAGCAATTGCTAGTGATAGCTCAAAGAAGTTGGGTAAACTTGAGCAACAAATACTTCAAGCTAATCCTATACTAGAAGCATTCGGCAACGCTCAAACTATTAGAAACAATAATTCCTCTCGTTTCGTAAGTAATTCATTCATAAATAAAAAATTTTTATTTGTATATATTTATTTATATTCATAATATACATGCAGGGGAAATTTATTAGGATCGAATTCAATTCGTATGGTCAAATTGCTGGTGCCAATATTGAAAGATATTTATTAGAGAAATCCCGTGTCACACATCAGACTCCTGAAGAACGTAACTTTCACATTTTTTATCAATTATTAAAGGGAGCTCCACAAGAATTCAAAAGTAAGTTATTATTATTTAAAGATGGTGTGTTATATATATTATATATATATAAATTTTTTTTATAAAATGTATAACCTTTATTATCACTTATTGCATTGTAGAGGATTTCTTGTTGGATGATACATTGGATGATTATCGATTTACAAAATTTTCAAGACAAGATATTGATGGTGTTGACGATTCAATTGAATTTAATAATCTCATGGTTAGCATATATCTCAATCTAAATCTAAACCTAAACCTATAATCATCATTACTGTCTTTTTTTTTTTTATGAATAATAATAATAACAATCATTTTCTTTTTAGGATGCTATGAATATAATAGGGATGACAATTGAAGAACAAATGAATTTGTTTCGTGTAATAGCAGCAATCTTACATCTTGGAAACATTAAAGTGACATCTAATCGTGACGACCAAGCTCAAATACCAGAAACATCTGTATCGGAAAAAGTTTGTCATCTTCTTGGTATACATGTATCGGATTTTATTAAAGGTCTAGTCAAACCTCAAGTTAAAGCTGGTCGCGAATGGGTTGCCCAATCGCGCACAAAAGAACAAGTCTTATACTCGATAGATGCTTTGGCAAAGTCATTATATGAAAGAAATTTTGGTGCGTTGGTAGAACGAATTAATAAGGCTACCGATAGACCAACCAATAAATCTAATTTTATTGGCGTATTGGATATTGCTGGTTTTGAAATATTTCAGGTAAAATGTTTTGATTGAATATCTCTAATATTTAAATATTATAAATTAAATTTTAAATTTAAATTTTATAATTAAAAATTATAGACAAATAGTTTTGAACAATTATGTATAAATTACACCAATGAAAAATTACAACAATTTTTCAACCATCATATGTTTGTATTGGAACAAGAAGAATATAGACGTGAAAGTATTGAATGGAAATTTATCGATTTTGGTTTGGATCTACAACCAACGATTGATTTAATTGAAAAAGTTAATGTATGTATATTACTATATCATTAATTATACTGTTTTGTTTCATTTTTTGACTAAAAAAAATTATTTATATCCGAAAAAAATAGCCGGTGGGAGTATTGTCATGTCTTGATGAAGAATGTGTTATGCCAAAAGCAACTGACAAAACTTTTGTAGAAAAATTACACAGTTTATGGAAAGACAAATCATCAATATATCAAGTTCCACGTTTTCAGCAAGGTTTCATATTACAACATTATGCTGCTAAAGTAGAGTACAGAACTGAAGGATGGCTTAATAAAAACAAAGATCCGTTAAACGAAAATATTACTAAACTACTGGCTTACTCAAATTGCGAATATATTGCATCTTTATTCCAAGATTTTCATGGCGACAACAATAACATTATAGATTATGGAACAAAAAATCGTGTTAAACGTGGTGCCTTTAGAACTGTAGGACATCGCCACAAAGAACAATTACACTCATTAATGAAACAATTATACTCAACTCATCCACATTTCGTCCGATGTATTGTTCCTAATGAAGAGAAAAAGCCAGGAAAGATTTATGTGCCATTAGTACTTGATCAATTAAGATGTAATGGTGTTCTTGAAGGTATTAGGATATGTCGTACTGGATTCCCTAATCGATTGGGGTTTGTCGAATTTCGTCAACGTTATGAAATCTTGGTCCCAGGGATTATTCCTGATGGATTTATTGACGGCAGAGAGGCTGCACGGCAATTATTGGAGGCTTTTAATCTGGATAGTTCACAATATCGTATTGGATTAAGCAAAGTTTTATTTAAATCTGGAGTGGTAATTATTTTTATATATAGCTAGCTTGATATATATTATTGATATATTGGATATATTATATATAATAATGGCTACTCTAATGATAATTTTTTTCTTTTTTTATATAGTTGGCAGAATTAGAAGAAATAAGAGATGGCAAATTAGCGCATGTTTTTACACGATTTCAAGCATATTGTCGTGGTCATTTGGCAAGAAAACAATATGAAATATTATCTAAAAAAGTTCAAGCAGCACGCATCATCCAAAAGAATGTAAGGGTTTATAACCAATTAAGAAAGAATTCATGGTGGAATCTTTATTCCAAAGTCAAACCGACCTTGAATACTACTCGTTGGGAGGAACAAATAAAACTTAGGGATAATCGTATACGCGAATTGGAGGAGAGATTGAAATTCGAGACCCAGGAACGGGAAAGACTTGAAGCCTTAACTGTGCAATTGGAATCTGAAAAGACGGTGTTGGAAGAAACATTGGACGACGAGAGAGTTTTAGCTCAGGGTAACGAGGAAATATTAGCTCAAACTCGACAACGAGAACGAGATTTAGAGGAGGAAGTTGATGAGTTGACAGAAGAGGTGGAGAAACTCGAAGGAGAATGTGAACAATTGGCAAGGTCTAAGGAAACACTTGAAAATCAAATGCAAGAACTTGGATTGCTAGATGCACCAGATCAATTATTGGTATTGAAAGAGGCGGAAGAGACACAAAAAGAAGTTATTAGGCTTGAACGAGCTAATAAAGCACTTCAGGTTGAGCTTGATGAATTGAAAGAGAAATTGGAAGATGAGAGGACCGAGAAACAAAAAGGTTCGATGAACCGACGAAAACTTATGTCACAGTTACAAGAATATCAGATGAAACTTGAAACAGATACTCAAAAATATAGTGGATGGGAAGATTCAGTGGCATCATATAGAGAAAAGATTACATCGCTGGCCTCAAATCTTGAGTCGTCAGAATTGGCACGAATAAAAGCAGAAAAATCTGAAGGTCTACTGAAACTCCATATAAATGAACTTGAAGAATCAATGGTCGAAATATGTATTAGTAATTTTATGAAAATTCAAGAATTACTAAAATTTTCCATCTCTTCAGGAAAATCCGAATAAAAAAACATTTTTCCATGTTTTTAATAATATATATATTCATTCATGCATTCATAATATGCTTATTGGTGTATTTATATTTATTTAGTTTTAATATAATATATTATATATTTATCATAATTTTGTATTATAAATTTTAAATTTTTTTTTTTTAAAATATAAATATTGTATTTCTATTAATAATAATAATCATATTGTATAAATAATAAATATGGGACATGCTGAAACAAAACCAGATAAAGTGATTTCGGGGATTCATAATTTGGTTGGTGGAGAATGAAAATTTAATTGGCCATACTTCCATTTCTTGGTTTTTCCCATATTTAATTTTTAATTTTACACAAAAAAACTATTAACTACTTATATCCAAGTACAAACCCTAAATAGACAGTATACAATAATCATGAGGTATCTCGGGTATAAGCAGCAGACTCTCCGTTAGAACTCCATCAATGATGCAAGATGATGTATGATGCAGACACTATACTCAAAGCTGGGCGTTATGTTTAAAACTTGAAAAATTCACGTGACAAATAATTAGCAATGTTGAAAAATTTGTGGGGGTTGGTTAATTCCTTCATGGCAATGATGTATGTTAAAATTAGCAATGTTGAAAAAGAATTTCGCACCCAAGCACCCCATATTTAGTTCAAAATCACATACAATGGCATGTCCTCGCTATTTTGGTTATATCCGATCATGAAGGTTTTCATTCCTGGATCAAATGAAATGATGCCAGCATCCTTAGCTACCAAGAGTTTAGGACCTTGATTATCACACACGTTTTAATTCGGGTGTTTTCTCACTTTGAGGCCATTTTTGTTTCCCCAATTTGTTGGTCATTTTCAAATTTTTAATATTAAGCTTTCTTTTTTGGAGCAATACTTGAATCATAATTGTTTAAAAGTCGCACATCGTTGCATCTCTAGTAAGAACCCATTCAAAATCAGGTCTTTGATTTTTAAGTTTTTCTTTATATATATATTGATTTATTCTGTCCAGCGAACAGTACCAATCCATTTGTTTTTCTTCCGAATCAAGGTAAAGACTGATGTTAAGATCTTTCCTGGGTAGAGAGGTAGAAGAAGTTATATTTTTTTAAAACTCTTCTGTTAAAAAGGGGAATATGTTTCATATTGTTAGGTGACAGTTTAATTGAACTAACGGTAGCCCATGACAATCTTTTAAAGAATCATCTCATTGACCTGAACACAGTGGTTTACTGGTAGTTTTTAAAGGTAACCAGTCTCGGAATAGCTTAAATATTCTTATATTTGAAAAAGTTGTTGAGAAAATTGCATATTGTTTTTTTTTTAATTAAAGATAAATTAACTGTTAATTTTTGTCTAGTTAAAAAATAAATAATAATGAGAAATTTGTTTTGTGTCGAAAATCAAAAAGATGATTGTGATTGGTTTTTAGTTTTTGGTAAAAATATTTACATAACAAAAATGATGATTATGTAAGAAATTCTTGTGGAGAATCACTGATTGGTAAAAACGTTGAAAAACATCAAATCAATTAATAATAAAATGGATCATTTGTGTATCTCGATTATCGTACAAATCCTCTGTTTTGAATCCATATTTTGTTGAAAATTTGAGCTTTTTTTAATATTGAATGTATATCTAGCTTGCTAAAAAGGATATAATGGAAGACGACATCATCATAAACGACAATATTAATATTGATATCAATATTGATTAATGATGAGAGTGGTACTAACAACCATTATAATAGTAAATATTGTTGATGTGATGTTTATCAAGCAACCGGAATCTTTCAATTGTGATTTCCGATTTTTTTGGGATATAAAGAAAAATTAAATTGAGGACGAAAAAAGTAATTATTAAACAATTGATTTATTTGATCTTCGGAAAAATCAATAGTCGATGTAGTTTCCAAATTAAAATTTATGAAGTCCCACTCCGACTTCGTGTAACATAAATATTTAAGTCGTCCATTCAAGATTAAATTATAAAACAAGAAATTTTTTTTTTTCATTAAAAATTTTAAATTAGGTGCAGAAACCCAGTAACTCGGAAAAATTTAATTATACAAAAATTCGATTAATTTGGGTTGACTTGAAAAAAAAAAAACAAAAACAAAAAACAACATTAGTTTGTTTTGTATTTTTATATTTTTGTTTTTAAATTGACTTTTTATCAGACTCCGAGAGATATTAAGAAGAAAAAAATGCATAAAAAGTCAATTTTTTTAGCTAGACAAAACTTTTTTTCTTTGTATAGTATACATAAATATAAAATATATATAATTATTACTTCACTTAATTATTATATCATTAAATTATTATTATTATTAACTAATTAAATATATTATGCTCAAGAAAAATCCAACAAAAAATAAAAATTCATCAAAGCGTGCTCGTAGTAATAGTACTGGTAATACTGGTTCTAATGCTGGTGCTGGTGCTGGTGCTAGTTCAGGTAGTATTAGTAGTATCAGTACTTTTACATTTGTGATGCCATTAAATGAATTCATTTCAACAGAAAACAATGATGGCCACAACGGCCACAACGGTAACAACGGTAACAACAACACTTCATTTCCAATCACCATTCATTCATATTCATCATCATCGCCATCGTCATCGTCGTCATCATCATCGTCGTCACGTAATGAAGAATGTCAATCAAATTTAGAAAGATTATTGAAAAGACTAACCACCAATCCTCCTTATAAATTGACGTTGCCAATTGACGAACTAATTAAACCAAAGTTATTACGAACTAATAATAATAATAGGGTTGTTAGAAAATATAAAAGAAACAATAGAAATAACAAAAACAACAACGTTAATAATGGCAATGATAATAATGCCACCAACATTAATAATAATAACGATAGTAATATTAATAATATCAAAAATAACAGTAATAATAGTAATAGTAATAGTAATAGTAATTCACCTAGACCTCAAAATCCATTCATTCTTTTTAGAACTGATTATAATGCCAAACTTAAAGCAGAATCCCAAATGACGAATTTGAATAATCGAGAAAAATCCAAATTGATTGCAAACATTTGGAATTCTCAATCTTCTGAAGTAAAACAATTTTTTCAAATATTAAGTATGGCAGCTAATGTTAAACATAAATTAACGTATCCTAATTATGTTTATAAACCGGTTTGGCACAATAATCTAAATACTAATATAAATCATGCTGATGATGATGGCGGTGAAATGGCAAAGAAAAGAAGCAAATCGGATGGAAAGATCGAAGATAATAACATTAATAAAAATAATAAAAATGATGGTGAAAAAAATAACATTGGCAATATTTATCATCAAATAATTGACTTTAATAATAATGATTTTAATTGTAATTTCAATAATAATAATAGTTTGAACAATTCCAATAATCTTGATGCTCTTAATAGCTTCAATAATTTCAATAATCTTGACGTTTTAAGCCATTTCAATAATTTCAACAATCTTGACGCTTCAAGTAATTTCAATAATAATTTCAATAGTCTTGACGCTTCAAGTAATTTCTATGATAATTCCAACAATATTGACGCTTTAAATGTTTTTAATAACTTCAATGTTCCTCCAATTAATTTCGATAGTCTCAATAATCCTTTCAATAATCCCATTAATTCTCTAAACAATTTCAATTTTGACGATCTAAATAACAACTTCAAAACTCAACTTTCTCTCACTGGAGACAATTTAGTTCATGAGGTGTCGACTTTAGGTCCACTTGACAACAATTCCTTTAATTTGGATATCACCGACAATAATATAGTTGATAATTCCAATAATAATGTTAATAATTTCATTAGTGTTCAGAATAATAATAGTAGTAGTAGTAACATTAGTAATAATTTTGATTTTGATAATAATAATGATAATAATAATCTTATTACTAGTGATAATATGATTATTAATGAGGGGAATGATAACACTTTTGAAAACATTAATGATAATAATGATCTTATTAATTTTGAATTTGAGAATGTTGAGTTTTTAAATTTTTTAAATTTTTTTGAATAATATTACAAGTCAATATCCATAATAAATAAATAAATAAATAAATAAATAAATTAATAAATAATGATTTAAGACTTAAAGACATTTAATTAAAAAGAAGAATTAAGAATATAAGATTTTATTATTATGCTTTTTTTTATGTTTTTTTTAAAGATATTATTAATATGATCAATAAAATTATGTATTATCTATCTGCACGGAAGAAAGTTGATTTTTCATGAAAACTTTACAATAAAATTATAAGAACTGTATCATTTTGCAGTTTATATGCTTGTAAGTATTACGTCTTTAATATGTTTAGAACTTTATTAAACTACTCCCTGACAAAAAGTATTGGCCATCATCTACTCTCACTCATTCTCCCTAATCATCCAAAGGCCCATATAACAAAAAATCACAAAACTTATATCATCACGTAGATCAAGTTGCGATGAACTCGACACAAAAAAACTTCATATTTTTCGCCTCTAAAAGCAATCAATGTAAATATTAGCACATAATGCATATATGTTTCTATTTTTTTGAAAGAAATTAAAATTCTTATTATTACCACGAAATGGAAATGGTGTTATAGATCACGCGAAACGTTTACAAAAAATTAGGTTTGAATAAAAATTTATTCAAGAAATTATTCAGAAACCTTAAATGTACACGTGGTGAAATTGGAAGTGATCAACACGGAAATAGATGGACCAATAACGATACGTGATAGATGATCGATACTTGTAAAAAACAGATTAATATTTATTAATATTAATAAAAAGCCACATTTTGTATTTGTGTATATTATAATTTATTATTGTTATAATTAGCGGTTACACACAAGATTTTTTTTACGTAGCGGACTTTTGAATATTCATTTATTATTATGTCGATCATGAATATTCGAATACGCACGAATATTCAGACCGACCTCCAGCAATTATGTTATATAGGCAATGTATTTCTATAACGGTTTCATTATATAACGCACTGAAAATTTAGGTCCAATTAAAATTGTCTCATATGTCTTATATACTGTCTATAACGGTTTCTCTATTACTATATAACGGATATTTTTTGCTGAAACAGAAGGGCTCGAATGGACTGTGATCCAAATCCAAATAAAACAATAATTTAAATTTATTTAAAAAAAGGGGATTTCTTAACCTCTTTCAGCAATATTTTTTAAACGAATCATAATTAAATTCACACATAAAATCTATAATGTCCTTTGCGGTTAGCATGTACATATGTCATGCGTCTTAATACAATAAACTAGCATAAAATTTTTTTTTGTTTGTGTTAAAGTGAATAGACGAGAATTATTATCACTTGAATCATCTTTGTTATGGAAATATTTATGTTTGGAAATTGTTAGTAGTAAACAGATTTTTCTATGAATATTTAGAAAATTTATCTAATACTAATATGTATTCATTGAATCAAATATTCATAATAATAATGATAGTACTAATAATAATGATAGTAATAATAATAATAATAATAACCGAATATTCGAATATGGTCAAATGATTATCAGCGTTCGTCACACTACATATATTTAAAATAAAACGCAGATAAGTAAAAGTGCGTGTAACAGTAATACTTTTTATATACAGTCTAAGCTCTCTATGCCAAACCCCTTGTCCTTTATTATTATATGTAATTTTTTTGCTTTTGTTCGTTATGGAGATGTTCGGTATAGAGAGCTTAGACTGTAGGGTCAATATTTCGTTTGTAGACCCGCAGATAACACGTGACAAAAATATATCAAGAGTCTGGATATTTTCTTTTGCTGATGTTTTTTGTATGTTCTTTGAATTTTCATTATAGGCCAATGGCCTTTTGGCCTTATAGTTTTTCATATTGTCAGTCAGTAATTGAAACAAAGATTCACTATTATTTTCAGGTTTTTCATCGAAATATGGATACATTTCTTCAAAATATTCAAAATTAACAAAATCACTATTGTCCCTAAAAAAGGGAATAATCAAGTTATTTATAAATAGTAATTTCATTACCTTCTAGCTTGCTTTTCTTTTTTTAATTCCAACCATTTTAGAAAATTCAATCAGGGCGTGTCACATTACACTAAATTTTCATATGCACGAAAATATTTATTAATTGATTTGTCACACACAAAATAAGAGAATTGGGAAAGCAAAAAAAAAAAAAGAGTATATAGGAACAATTAAATTTTTTACTGGCATTTATAAAAAAATAACAAACGTGCACAACACCCGTGTAACGTGGCACGCCCGAATTGAATTTTCGTCCCACAACTTTCTGCGCCACATCGCCAATGTTTCCAATCATAAAAATTGTTGGTCATGTGATATTTCCTAGTCATTCCATAAATAGTAAAATCGGCAATATGGTGGTGGGAGCCAGTATATGATTTTGCATATTTCTTTGATTAACGCAATAGTCTATTTTATTAAATTTGAAAACATGAACTTGGCTGTTTGTATTTTTATATAAAGAATAAATTCTTTTTCCATTCATCTGGAAATTCACATATAAAAGATCTGTAAGATAAGGGAAAAAATTAAAAAATTTTGTTTTTGTTTCAATTCGTTTATTTTTGATATTAACTTTTTTTGCGTGTAACGCGCTAATTTTAGGGCTGAACATAGTAAATTGGTAAATTTGAGCAAATTGAGACACGAATCCTCTGACATATCAACAAAATGAAATCGTAACTTGTAGAGAAAGGTCTTGGCTTCGAAACATGACTTATTTTTTGATGTTGCATTTCCATTTTTGGAGGATTTGAAGGATATATGTGACCAATCAAAAGTTGCAGAACTACACTATACAATATCGAGCTTTAACTTGACTATGATTATCGTTACACTGAACTCATTTAAAATATTTCGACGTAGTTCAATGGCTTTTAATTAGAATAATTAATTTACATTGTTATTGTTTTTCTTCAAAAGTTACATGAAAATTTAACTCGTCAATTTTAAGAAAACCAATTATTTTGCATGCATTAATGTGACACTCACTGTACTCAAAGTAATTCGGTAAGTAGCGAAGTAAAATTCAGGAGATAGACTTTTTTTTGGATTAGGTAGATTGTACAAATAATAAGTAATGGTTATTCCACGGCTCCAAGGACGATGATCCTCGACGTTAAGCAGAAAGTATATATCAAAAGCAGAAACGTGAAGAATTATATCTAATTTGGTTAATTGCTGGTATACCTTTCTATTTTTGTAGCAGAAATTTCATGCATATTAATATGCCAAATATAACATAATTGTACATCACGTGATCAAGCAAACAAATTGAATTCGCGCGACTTATCTAATCTTATACTGCTAAAAAAATTTATCAATATTTCGTTTCTACATGTATTACATTAAATTTGTTCATAATTCTCGAATCTGTTGGCTCTATGGAAATAGGCTAGGATTTCTATTTGAATAAAACAAACAAAACGAATAATATAGCTGATAGTAATAGTGTATGCACATTGCTAATTCAATACAATTAAAACTTATCAGTTCTATTTCTCCTTCGCAGTCCTTGTAGCGATGATAATAATAATAGCAGTAGCAAAAGTAATTTGACATCTTTTTTTTAGTAATTAATAATGATAGCTGTAGTAATTGGTTTTTTCCCTTGTGATAATAATAATAATAATAGTGGTAGATGTATTATTTTTTTCTATTAGCAATTCGAATAAGAATTATTTGTTTATTTTTTTCATTATTTATTTTTAATTGATTCTTAGATATTTTCGAATAAATAAATATAATGAGATTTTATAGCAGAGTTAAGCCGCAGATTTTGTTTTTTTTTGCTGCAGAATCGTCCCTACACGGAATAACTAATTGGTTTTAACTTTGATAGACTTTTGATAATTATTGTTTATTGAAATATTATTAATAAAGGATGGTTACCTTGGTTGAAAATTGATTCCAGAAAATTTTAATTATGAAACTTTTGCAAATATTTCACGGAAATCATAAAATAGAACGTGAGATGACAGGGAAATTTTTTATATTGTCGAGTTGTCAAAGAGTAATAATGATGATGATGATGACAATAGAAGGTAGTAAAGGTGATAATAACAATGAAAATAATAACGGTAAGTAGTAAATATATGTTTGTTATTTTCAAAAGGCTAATATACAAAAAATAGTAATATACATATAACATAAACATTTTTTATAATAATAATTAGATGACGATAATGATCATTATTATTATAATTATTATAATTAATATATTTTGGAGATGTTTGAAAAAAAATTTAGGTATTCTTCAACTTTACCAATAGCGATATTACAATGGACTATTTTAATTGCAGGTTTAATACATGATAATAATAATAATAATTAATTATACGTAATTCGGAATTCACTCACTTATACATTATTATCATTATAAAATTAATTATACATAAAAAAAGAATATTAACCAGATTTGTTGAAGAAGATTTATAATATTGAAACTTGCTCAACAACAACAACTACCACAACAAAAATATCAAGCATTGGTATTAATATTCTGGATCGCAGCTTATTTTTCTATGTGAATAACCCAAATAAACGTTACAGTCAAGCCTTGTCATAGCCACAACGGATTTTTATATGTTTTTATGTGTTAGTGTGAAAAAATCCGTTATGACAAGAATTTGATTATAGTCCATTGTGGTGAGGTCTGCTGTGACAAGGGTTGAGTGTAGTACATATTTGTATGAGAATATAATGAGTAAATTAAACTGGAACGATATTAACTATATCAAACAGAAGAAGTAAAAATACTTTAACAAAATTAAAACTATTAGATTGAAGATTACTGACACCTTCATCCCATGAAGTTACAATATTAATAATCTTGATCAATAAATAAAATATAATTTTCATTATGTATCATTTATCCAGAAACTATTATAAAACAAATATTGTTGTAACTCTATTTATATATACTTAATATTATTAACACTTACTACATAATGTTTCATTCCCCTTCCGCATCAATGTTAACTTTAAAATGGATATCTAGAATCAGAGATTGAAATGGAAATCTATTAGTGAAGATAATAATGGTATGATCTTACATCAACCAGGATTTCAACACTTTACAAGCAAAGGCAGAATTTTTCTAATTTAACCTTCAAAGAGCTCTTAACAAACCTTTGTAAAGCATGTTTGAATACATGTTATCTACTTCAATCCCCCCGTTGTACAATAATCTTGAGGTGAGTGTCAATAACAGCAATGCTTTCAGCTTGTCATAGAATAACCAATATTTAAACTAGCTTTTTGTTTTAATGGTCATTTAATATTATTATTCGAATATCCATAATGCTTTTGTAATAGACATTTTCAAATATCTATGACACTTTTGAATATCCATAACAGTATCCGTAATAGTAACACTTTCAAATATCCATTAACATGATTCGTTCAAATCTTTTTTTTATTTTTATTTAAATCAGCTATAAGTTTGGATGGTAAATGAATAATTGCAATTTGTAAATCAATCAACTTTCTCCATGAATAAGATGAATTCCATCTAATACTAATATCTTGAATCAATGTATGAATATTTGCATAACTCAACTCCTTTTTGTGATTTTCTTTTTGTTTAGGAGTAGTGAAGAAGTTAATTAATCTTTTCAGCCTTTTGTACACTAAAGGATTGTGAGAATAGTGTTTTAACATTCAAGCCCTTAGAGGGCTGTGTGTGTGATCTTCAATGGTTATTGCT